CCAAGACGGCCCCAAGAGGGCCCCAAGACGGACCACGAGGCCTCCAAGACGCCCAAGATGGCCTCCAAGACGGCCCTGGAGCACCCCAGGAGGGCCCCAAGTCGGCTCAGAGAGGCCCCCAAGAAGCCCCCAAGAGGGCCCCCAAGAGGCCCAAGGAGGCCCCCAAGAGGCCTCCAAGAGGCTCCCAGGAAGCTCCCCGGAGGCCCCAAGAATGCCCTCAGAGGCAACCAAGATGCCCCCTCCTCCTCCTCCTCCTCCTCCTCCTCCTCCTCCTCCTCCTCCTCCTCCTCCTCCTCCTGCTTCTCCTCCTCCTCCTCCTCCTCCCCGCCATTCTCCCCCAAGTGTTCCTGGAAGGGTTTCCACAACGGCTGGGCGAACACACGGTTCGATAGCTTGGCAGAGCTCTTGCCACAACGCTCGGCCACACGGGCGATTCCAAAAGGCAGGGAGCGGCGGTGATTCGCCATAGACGTCTTCGATCCGCCGCCCCCTCTTGATTTATGACAAGGGTACCTGGCGTGCTAGTTGACTGAAAGCGTCTTTGTTCTTTTCTAAGGGACTCCCCCTGGGGCTTCGGCCCAGCCCGCCGGCCACCAGGAAAGCTCGGGAAAATCCACCACTCATCGCTCAGATCGCCTCAAACACGGCTAAAATGGTCCGAGATGGTCTGCAAGATGCCTCCAAGACAGGCAAGCCCAAGAGAGCCCGAGATAACCCCAAGATGGCCTCCAAGACGGCCCCCAGATGCATCCAAGACCGCCAAGACGGCCCAACATAACCAAAGACAGCCAAAGAGGCGCCCAGGAGGCCCTTAAGATGGCCCAAGAGGCCTACAAGAGGTCTTCCAGGAAGGCCCGAAGAGGCCATCATTGATTTCCCGTAGGTTCTTGAAAGATTTATGCGTTTGCTTCAAAGCAGCCTTCTGACGGCCAAAGACGGCCAAAGAGGCCCCCAAGATTGCCCCAATATCGCCAAAGAGGCCTCCAAGATGGCCCCAGGACGGCCCATGAGGCTCTCAAGACGGCCTCCACAAGGCCCAAAGACGCAACAAGAGGCCTCCAAGACGCCCAAGATGGCCTTCAAGATGACGTCTCAAAGAGGCTCCCAAGACGGCTGCCGACGGCGTCAGAGGAACGCCGTAAGACGACCAAAGAGGCCCCCAAGAAGCCCCCAAGAGGGCCCAGAAGAGGCCCAAGGAGGCCCCCAAGAGGCCTCCAAGAGGCCCCCAGGAAGCTCCTAGGGGGCCCCAAGAATGACCCAAGAAGATCCCAAGAGGTCTCCTCATCCTTCTCCTCATCCCTTTTTTCCTCCCTCTCCTCATCCTCCTCTTCCTCCCCCACGTGCTCCCCGAAGGGCTGGCACGACGGCTTGGGGAACGCATGGTCCAACAGCGTGGCCACACTTTTCCCACACGTTTGGCCACATGGGCGTGGCGGCGGCGGTGCTTCGCCGTAGGCGTCTTCGATAGTCTGGCCCAAGGGGGGGCGAGCATATCCACATCCGCCGCCTGCCGATGTCCCCGAAGATCGATCCCCCGGGCGCTGCCAGGCAGGGAGGCCTCGCCTCGGCCCCCAGACATGGACGGATCCCGCCTCGGAGCGCCCTCCCTCCCGCCCCTGCGCGAGAGCGCGGGAAGAGAAAAAGCTCCAGGAGCATAAACTGTCGGAGGTCCGCGCGGATCTCCTTCGATGTGCGCTGGACCCCGATCCCTGGCGAGCGGAGCGCGCCAGGAGCGGCGCCAAGGGGGCCCAGCGCAGATCCGAGGAATCCGCGCGGAGCTGCGAAAATGTGTGTGTGTGTGTGTGTGTGTTGTGCATTGTCGTTTTTCGATGGACGCCCTGGAGCGACTTGATCAACGCGCCTCCAGGTCGGTTCGTGCCGCGGGGTCGGCTGGCCACGATGCGTTTCGCCCTCCGCCTCTGCGTGAAGCTGCGCGAGTTACAGTGGAGGCCAGTCCACAAGAAACCATCCACAAGAAACTGTACCCCGAGACACCAGGACGTCCATCGACTTTTGGTGTGGGACCGTCACGCTTTCCATAGCAGAACCGCTTAAACCCAAGAAGCCCAGGGCACCCTGGAGGCAATCAGGGTGCTCCTTGGCATGGGCCTCCACTGTAGTTGTGCCGTTTGTTCTTCTTCAACTGTCGGAGAGATCGAGGATGCCCCGCCCTCGCGCGAGAGGGCACGGCACCCCCCCAGCGCAGGCCGCCCATGCGCAGGCCGCCCATGCGCAGGCCGCCCATGCGCAGGCGCGACGAGGGGCAGCGCACGCGCGTGCGACCAGACGCGGCGCAGCTTTCACGCGCCGGCGTCCGCGCGGCCGCCGGCCCCACTGTTCGAGGCCTCCCACGTGGAGTCAGAGCAGATGGAGTCGGAGGACCTCGCCGAGCCGCCGATGCACCGGCGATGCATCGGCGACGTCGGCGATGCAGCGGCGACATCCGCGCGGAGGTCGGGCTCCGCATCGAGCCGCATCGCCGATGCCTAGGCGATGCGGGGCGGCCCTCGGACCCCCTCTGCTCCCACCCCATCTGGCAGGCCCAGGCCTAGAATTTATCTCGGACCTCTCGGCCTGTCGTGCTGAGAACGCCGGCTCCCCTCACGAGCTGGGAGCACACCTGGCGAAACCAAAAGGTACCGATACTTACCGGCGAGGCAGGCGCCACCAGCGGGCACTCCGCGGCCTCCTGCGCCTGCAGAGCTCGCGGCCGGCGCCCGCAGACGAGCCCGCAGGTCCCAGGACACTTTTGCCCGGCCAGGGGCGGCGGCCATGTGCGTGTGTATATATATATATATATATATATGGACCTTACATGGATTCTGTCGCCCAGCAAATGGATCGCCGGCGAGCTCGGGGGGAGGATGAGGAGGGGCGGGCCTTCTCAGAAAGGCTCGGAAGTCCCCCCGCCTTCTGAGAAGTGTTGTAAGCCTTCCCCGAAGACACGGAACACTTCTCCAAGGCCGCAGCGTTTCTGAGGAGTCCCGCCGCCTTGCGAGAAGGCCTCCTCCCTCTCACTTCCCCCCCTCCCTCGCCGCCGACCGGAGCAGCACTTTGCCGGCCCGCCGTGGACATGCCAGGCGGAGGCCGACGAGCGAGACTTCGGGCAAGGCTCGGGGGGTGGGGGGGCCCAGAGATCCGACGCTCCAATGGGGGGTGGACAGACCCCCCTTTAGTAAAACGTGGTTTAGTGAAAACGACCTGAGGCCCAAACCTGGCGGGCGCAAGCCTGGAAAATAACGGCCGCGCGCCCTCTCGAGAACCGAAAACGGACAATTCACTAATCGACGTGTCACTGTTGGGGGTTCTGTCCACCCCCGATCCAAAAACATTGGAACGGGCGGTTTTGGTCCGTTTTCAGCCTCCGGAGGCCCTCGCTGGGCCCAGGGGGCCCTCGCTGGGCCCATGGACCGTCAGAAAAACGACTCTCGGCGAGGCGAAAAACGCAAAGGTCCAGACCTCCGGGGCCCACGCCGCGAAACGACTCGAGCAGCCGGATCTCCTGGGAGCGAGACTCCCGGCAAGGCTCTGAGGGGGTGCTACAGAGAGGGGGCCCCCTGCGGTGTCCAAAGCAGGGGCGCCGGGGAGCCAAGCCGGGGGGGGGGGCGTATACGCCGCCCCTGGGCCGAACATGGGCCTGGCCAGGGGCGGTGGACATATACAGACCTCGCCGCCCGGCACTGCACCTCGCCACCCTCAAGCGGGGCGCCGCCCGCGGCGATCGGGAGCCGCGCACAGCGCCTGGAGAAAGACGGCGCTGCACAGGCCGTCGCGGAGAACGCCAGGCGGCCCGACGCTGCCAGCAAACAGCAGCAGCCAATGATCCATCGGCTACACGCAAGATTGATCCTAGGCAAGGAGGACCTTTGGTGCGCGGCTGTAGGGGGGCGCGGGGGATCCAAACCCGAGCGCAAGTGCCGCTGCTATCACGTCGCACTCGACAGTCTGGCGGCCGAAGGAGCCGCGTGTGCCCGCATTCGAAGTCACTCCGACGAGCGGTCGCTCTCACGTGTAGCCGAATACAATGCAAGCCAGACTGATTGAGTGAGCCGCGCATCAAATAAAATCACGCAACGCGACCCAAACGACTTTACAGCAACAATAAAACAACTACACACGAAACAGTAAACAGAGACTCGGAAGGAAATAGTTGTTTCTCGTCTGACTCGCTGGCTGCGGCCTGGCCGCCTCGACAGCGATGGCGACGATGATGACGAACCAGGAGTTTGTGTGGTTATCGTCCACGTCTCTGTGGGGCGCTGCGACACCCCCAGGCAATTCTGTTTCGTTTAGTCGCACCATGAGACACGAGTCGACGAAGGAGTCCTAACCTGCCGGCCTTTTCTTGACGGGCGACGAGCAGATCCACGTCGTGCCAGCGTGGCCTGGACACGAGACACCCTGGCGCGCTCCCGCACGCCCGTGCATACGTTTCGCGCGGGACATCTGCACAAAGCCCCCCTGTATCCAAATCGGCATAGACATTGAACTTTCGGAGATCTGTGCGGATTTCTCAGATCAGCGCTAGACCCGCTTCCCTGGCACGCGGAGCGCGCCAGGTGCGGCGCCACAGGCGCTGCCAGGGGGGCCAGTGACGCTCCCAGAAGTCAGCGCAGCCCTTCGAAACTGCATGTTTATGCTCATTGATCCTCTTCGATCCATTGGCCGCGGCAGAGGAGTCTGGACCACGAGGCCGTGGACATGGATACCCATCGGTCGGAAGAAATAGGTAGAAACATGAAGTAGGAAGGCGTTGGAAATTGATTTGGTGTCCGCCCGCCCCCTAAGGAGGACGGAAAAGGTGAAGCCACTCGACCATTGAAGTAGGAAGGCGCTTGAAGTAGATTGGGAATCTGGGACTCCAAAAATGCCTACTTTCAACGACCGATGGGTATGCTCACCTATCTTTTTCGATCCATTGGCCGCGGCAGAGGAGTCGGGACCACGAGGTCGTGGATATGGGTATGCCTCCCGCCCACGCATCCCATGCCCCCGCTGGCCTCTGCGTGGCCCTCCCTCACGAGGTTCAGCGTGGCACCCCCGAAGCCGCCGCCCATGAGGCGCGCGCCCAGGAATCCCTCGATCCCCTCGGCGCACTCGGCCATGACGTCGAGCTCCTCCCGGTCGGGAGGCATCGCAGGGACCAAGCGCGAACAGGAAGAGGGGTGGAAGAGGAGAAGGGGAGGGGAGGGGACAGGAGGGAGGTCCCGCAGGCGCCTTGCACGAGTTCCCGAAGTCGTCACGGCTTGACAAGTGCGAGTCCTTCAGCATCTGGCCGATGCCCGCCAGGTCGCCAGCCTTGGGGGCATGAGGAGGTGGAGGAGGCGGAGGAGGCGGAGGAGGCGGAGGAGGAGGAGGAAGAGGAGGAGGAGGAGGGGAGGAGGAGGAGGAGGAGGAGGAGGAGGAGGAGGAGGAGGAAGAGGAGGAGGAGGAGGAAGAGGAGGAGGAGGAGGAGGAGGAGGAGAAGGGCGGGGAGGGGGGGGATGTCGGGCGTGGACAGACTCGGCTCGGCGCGAACACTGCTCGGCCCTGTGGAAGGAAAAGCTACGCTCCAGCCTGTGGGGAGGCTTCCCAGACCTGGCTAAGCCAACATGTCAGGCCACCTCTGGAGCCGCGGGCGACTCCCAAGCCTGGCTCGGCCCAAATCCGCCGACCCCTTGGGGTTCATCGGCGTGTGAGATGTTCCCCCTCCCCAAACCCCTCCCCCGGGAGCCCGGTCCGGTCCATTTGGAGGGGGGGGGGGGGGTCCGGCCGGACGGGCCGGAACCCCCCGGAGGTCTCATCCGCTCCCGAAAAACGTGGAAAAACACATGGAATTCGTGTAGGGACGCGTCTGGTGGCCTCCAAATGGGTTTGGGACGCCCCACGAGCGCTCCAAGACGTCCAAGTTTGCCCGAAGACGGGCCACGAGGCGTCCTCGACGGCAGAAGAGGTCCCCACGAGCTCCCCCGAGGGCCTCCGAGATGCGTTCCACAAGGGTCCCTAGACGCCAAAATTGGGCCATTCCCTTCGTGAAATGTACATTTTTTAGAAATTCAGCTTTGGATTTTTCCGATGCTCCCCGACGGCCCAAGAGGCTCCCAAACCCGCTCCCAGACGGCCCCAGAAGCCTCGCAGAGGGCCCCCCACAGACCCCTAGAGGGCCCAAGATGGGCCAACAGGCGTCCAAGACGGCCCAAGAGGGCTCCGAAAACGGCCCCAAGAGCGTTCCAGGAGCGTTCCGAGCTGCTTCCCCGAAGCTCCACATGGTCCCAGACGGTCCAAGAGCGATCAGAAACATCGACGACGACCTCCCGACGGCTCACGAGGCCTCCCCAGACGCCCCCACAAGCATCCAAGATTCCCCCCAAGAGTCCCTCTAGACGCAAAAAATCGCTCGCTTCCTTTCTAAAACGTATTTTTTTTCACACGTGCGCCTTTGGGGGTGACCCCCGCTCCTGCACGGCCCCAGAGCCCCCCAAACCCGCTCCCAGACGGTCCAAGACGCCTCCAAGAGGGTCCGTACATAGCCCTCGAATGCCCCAACACGTTCATCGGCGTGTGAGATGTTCCCCCTCCCCAAACCCCTCCCCCGGGAGCCCGGTCCGGTCCATTTGGAGGGGGGGGGGGTCCGGTCGGACGGCCCCGGACGGCCCGGAATCTCCCGGAGGTCTCATCCGCTCCCGAAAAACGTTGGAAAAACACTCGAAATTCGTGCAGGGACGCGTCTGGTAGCCTACGGCCCCGGACGGGCCGGAACCCCCCTGAGGTCTCATCCGCTCCCGAAAAACGTGGAGCAACACGTGGAATTCGTGTAGGGACGCGTCTGGTGGCCTCCAAATGGGTTTGGGACGCCCCACGAGCGCTCCAAGACGTCCAAGTTTGCCCGAAGACGGGCCACGAGGCGTCCTCGACGGCAGAAGAGGTCCCCACGAGCTCCCCCGAGGGCCTCCGAGATGCGTTCCACAAGGGTCCCTAGACGCCAAAATTGGGCCATTCCCTTCGTGAAATGTACATTTTTTAGAAATTCAGCTTTGGATCTTTCCGATGCTCCCCGACGGCCCAAGAGGCTCCCAAACCCGCTCCCAGACGGCCCCAGAAGCCTCGCAGAGGGTCCCCCACAGACCCTTAGAGGGCCCAAGATGGGCCAACAGGCGTCCAAGACGGCCCAACACGGCTCCGAAAATGGCCCCAAGAGCGTTCCAGGAGCGCTCCGAGTTGCCTCCCCGAAGCTCCACATGGTCCCAGACGGTCCAAGAGCGATCAGAAACATCGACGACGACCTCCCGACGGCTCACGAGGCCTCCCCAGACGCCCCCACAGGCATCCAATATTCCCCCCAAGAGGCCCTCTAGTAGCACAAAATCGCTCGTTTCCTCTGTAAAACGTATATTTTTTTACACGTGCGCCTTTGGGGGTGACCCCCGCTCCTGCACGGCCCCAGAGCCCCCCAAACCCGCTCCCAGACGGTCCAAGACGCCTCCAAGAGGGTCCGTACATTGCCCTCGAGGGCCCCAACACGTTCATCGGCGTGTGAGATGTTCCCCCTCCCCAAACTCTTCCCCCAGGAGAAGGCAGAGGAGGAGAGGCAGGAAGAGGAGCAGGAGGGAGGAGCAGGGGGAGGAGGAGAGGAGGAGAGGGAGCCGATCATCGTCATCAGTGTCGTGATCATCAACGACGTCATTGCCATCGACAAAATCAGCCCAAACATCCCCGAACATTCACAGTTACCGGGGCATCCCGCTTGGAAACCGCCGACAACCGTAAGATGTCTCCGGGGTGTAACATACTTCCCTGGCTCCGGCACCCGTGCAAGGCCCCAAACACAACCCAAAAAACCTCCCTGTGCCGTCTTGGGGTTCGCTTGGGCCGTCTGGAAGCCCTCTGGGCCAGTTTGCGACACATGTCGGCTCCCCTTCTCGCTGTGACGGGCCCTGAACAGCCTCATTTTCCCACGGTTTGCAAGGAAGCTGTGGTGAACGATCCCGAGGAAAATCCAAGGGGTCGGCGGATGTGGCGGAAGCCTGAAGAATCTGGCCTCGCAGGATCCTGCAGGATCCGGCGCTCTGGCTGAGCCCCGTTTCACGAGGACCGAGGCTCCGGGTCCCGGGCTGCTCCCGGGGACCTCCTGAAAAATCCCAGCGTCCTCTCAAACCAAGACGTTTTTGCTGGCCCAGGGCTTCTTAGTGCGGAGAGGATGCTTCGGAGAGGAGAGGGAGAACATGCTCGTCGCTCGTCGCTTATCGTCGTCGTGCGCGCGGGAGAGGCTGTGGTGCTGGAGTCACACGGCGGGGGAGTCACCGCCCGGAGGGGCCGAAGAGTGCGGAGAGAATGCTTCGGCCCACGGCCGCAGTGTCCTCGGGCGCGCCGGCATCCAGGTTTATCACAGAGTCCCCGCTTTTGTGAAGGGGTCCAGGGACGAACAGCCAAGTAGACACCAGTCCCAGGCTTCGCCAGACTCTTGCACGTCTTCTGCGTTTCTGTCTTCCCCGCCACTCCCCTGGCCTTCCAGCACTTTCCAGGGAATCGACCAGTGTTTGCGCCTGTGCTTTTTCCCCTCCTGAGTTTGGGGGGGCCCTGAGAGCCCCCCCCCGCGCCGCCGCGGTCGGAGAATCCGACCGCGAGGCTTTGGGGCAGGCGAGCCCGGGGGCGAAGTGAGAAGGGGCGGTCGGCGCGCACAAGGGGGGTAGGGGTAGGGAGGAAGGAGGAGGAGGAGCCAGAGGAGGAGGAGCCAGAGGAGGAGGAGGAGGAGGAGGGGGAGGAGGAGGGAAAGGAGGAGGGGGAGGAGGAGGAGGAGGAGGAGGAGGTGGAGGAGGAGAGAGGAGGAGGAGGAGGAGGACGAGGAGGAGGAGGAGGAGGAGGAGGGAGGAGGAGGAGGAGGAGGAGGAGGAGGAGCGGTCGGCGCGCACAGGGGGCACAGTCAGGCCGCTGACCTAAGGAACGCTAAATAAGGAACCAGGCCCCTTTTCCCACCAGCTAAACTTCCATTTCCTGACGAAAACCTGATGAAAAACCATGGCAAACTGTGAAACAACTAAGGAACACGGAGCCCCTCCCCAACGAAAAGGGTTCCTTCTTCAGCGCCCCGACTGTAGGGGGGGAAGGCTTCTCAAACGGAGGCTGCTTCGTGGAAAGCGCGGGCCTTTACATCTACAGACAGGGCCCGCGCCTTCTAAGAAGCAGGAGCTTTGCTAGGAAACATTCTCCCCTCCCCCTACCCCCCTGCCCCCCTCTGCGCGTGGCCGACTTTTGACTTCAATCCCAGACCCCCTCGCGTCGTGGACAAAATCGCTACGGATTGCTTTTGGCCGTTTCTGGCCTCTGAGGGCCCTTACCGGGCCCAGGGGGCCACCAGGAAAACGACTCGTGAGGAAGACCCAGTCTGAGGGAAGAGGTCGAAACCTCCAAGGGTACAGACCTCCTCTGGAGGGAGAGGGGGAGGATCGAGAAGGAGAATCGAGCGAGGATCGAGGGGGAGAATCGAGAAGGAGATGGGGAGGATCGAGAAGGATTTAGAGGGAGAATGCAGCGAGGATCGAGAAGGAGAGGGGGAGGATCGATGAGAATCGAGCGAGGATCATCCTCATCACCAGCAGCATGTGTCATTCAGCGTTGCCACCATCATCAGCAGCAGCACCATGATCGCCAACCTCAGCATAAACAGCACCAGTGACGTCACCATCATGGTCGCCATCATCAGTATATATAACATCAGCAACAACAATATGGTCATCAGCATCATCAGAATACGTATCATCATCATCATCATCATCATCATCATCATCATCATCATCATCATCATCATCATCATCATCATCATCATCATCATCATCATCATCCTCATCATCATCATCATCGTCATCATCATCATCATCAGCATCATCATCATCAGCATCAGCAGCAACAGCATCATCATAAGCATAATCAGCATCGTCAGCATCATCATCACCACCAGCATCATCATCATCAACATCATCAGCATCAGCATCATCACCATCATCCGCATCATCAGCGGCAGCATCAGAACCACCATGATCGCCATAATCCACATCATCACCATCATCAGCATCATCATCATCATCATCATCGTCATCATCATCATCATCATCATCGTAGCATGATCATGATCATCAGCAGCAGCAGCATCACCATCATCCTCATCATCAGCATCTGAATGAGAATCCTCACCATCATCATTAGCATCAGCATCAGCAGCATCATCATCATAATCAGCATCACCATCATCATCGGCGGCAGCAGCATCATCAGCATCAGTATCATCAGCATCAGCAGTACCATCAGCATCATCATCATCATCAGCATCATCAGCATCATCAGCATCATCATCAGCAGCATCATCTGCATTATCAGCATCCTCATCATCATCAGCAGCAGCATCATCTGCATCAGCATCATCATCAGCAGCAGCATCATCAGCATCATCCTCCGCATCAGCATCATCATCGGCAGCATCATCGTCAGTCGCATCAGCATCGTCATCATCATCATCAAGTGCATTGTCAGCATCATCATCTTCACCAGCATCATCACCATCACCACCAAAGCCACCACCAACATCATCAATATCAGCATTACCAGCATCGTTATCATCAGTATCATCAGCAACAACACTATCAGTATCATCAGCATCGTCATCACCATGTTCCTCACCATCATCATCATCATCATCATCATCATCATCATCAGCAGCATCATCATCAGCATCAGCACCATCATCATCTGCAGCATTACCCTCATCCTTACCCTGGCCCCTCCTCGCTCCACCATCAGCACCAGGACCACCATCACCTCCACCACCACCAGCAGCACCATCATCACAACGATCATCACCATCATCGTCACATTCCTCGTCATCTTCACCGCAACCACAAGCAAGCACCATGACCAAAATATGCATTATCACCACCACCATCATCACCATGATCGTCATCGTGGTCGTCGTCGTCATCAGCATCAGCATCATCATCAGCATCATCATCACCATCATGCTCAGCATCAGTATCAGAAGCAGCTGCATCAGCATCACCATACTCAGTAGAAAGGTCATTGTCGTCATAATCATCATCATTGGCATCAACACCATCACCAGTGTCATCGTCAGCAGAAGCGGCGTTAACCATTATCTAGCATATCATCATGTTCATCGTAATCCTCCTCCTCCTCCTGAGGCTCCCTCTCCCTCCCTCTTGATCATCATCCTTGTCCTCCTCCTCCACACCATCCTCCTCCTCCTCCTCCTCCTCCTCCTCCTCCTCCTCCTCCTTCTCCACCTCCTCATCCTCATCCTCGTCCTCCTCCTCCTCCTCCTCTTCCTCCTCCTCTTCCTCCTCCTCATTGCTCTCCCTCCCAGCCTTGAGGGCGGCAATCGCGCTGTGGACGCGCTCGTTCTCGGTCACCTCACTTGCTACGTATCCCTCGCTCAGCACACAGAACCAACCCAGGACTGCAGACCTGATCAGCGTCAAGTCGTCGTGGCTCTCTGGAGCCATCGTCCACCACGTCTTAAGAGCCCCAAGGCGCCCATAACCCAGAAAGACATGCTTGGCATGGGCAAGCGTGTACATGAGAGAAGCCCTTCTGAGCGCCAACTGCATGGAAAAACAGGCGAACCTTGCAGGAGGATGGTCAGGAGCAGCAGCACAAGCGGCAGAATCAGCAAGGCGTGTCGGGCGGGCAAACCCTAGCGGGCAGGTCGGGCGGGCGGGCCCAAGGAGGCCCGGTCGAGCGGGCGGGCCGCCAAAGCGACAACCCATCATGAAGGAGGTGTCGAGCGAGAACGCGATTCCAAAATAATGTGTGAGCCTTGGGGGCATGGCGCCGCATCAAATTGCGAGGAAGTACCACGCGAGCTCGAACAAAGGATGCGCCGAAGTGGGGGGGGGCGGAGGAGCGTGCGCACTACAGCCCGAGGCATCTGCGCGGACGAGGGAGAGCAGGGGACATGCTGAAAAAGAAAAGGCCATAAAATCTGGGAGATATCATGGCCCTGGCCACGATATCCACAGGCACCCAGTCCTCACCCCCCCTCTCGACGTCTGGATGCTTTCGCGTCATACCTCGGGCCTCCAGCGGCCGATCGGGACGCTTCGGGCAGCCTAGGAAACCTCTCGACGTGGCGCAGCTGCTGGAGAGCATCCCGGGGCCAGTGCTCCCCAGGACCCGGCCAAAACTCTCTCCGAGAGCCAAGGAGGAAGTCCTCGCACGCCCCCGCCAGTCCTCGCCTCCCGCGCTGCGCCCTCCCTGGCGCGCTCGGCGGCGGGGGGGTCAGCGCCGATCCAAGAAATCCGCGCGGAGCTCGAAAGCGTATGGTTGCGCATGTCTGTTTCCTCCATAGACGCCCCCGAGAGCATCGATCCTTGAGCCACGAGGTGGTCCGTGCCGCGGGGTCGGCCGGCCACGATGTGCTTCGCCCTCCGCCTCTGCGCGTCCGACAGCTTGTCCGCATGCTCGGCGAGCAGGTCGGAGCTGACGTCTCTCAGGTGGGTGATCTTGCTGCTGCCGGTCTCCTGCATTCGCTCCTCCTCCTGCTCACGCCTGCTCCTGTTATATCTTCCCTCCCCCCCATCAGCATCATCTCCGCCGCAACCTCCCGTCATCAACTCTCCTCATCCTCCTCCTCCTCATCCTCCTCCTCCTCCTCCGCCTCCTCCTCCTTCGCCTCCTCTCAGCCTCATAAAAACCACTACAACAACCATCCGAGCAGCCCCTCCATCATCCGCATCATCATCGTCGTCGTGGCCGCCACCGCCACCACCATCATTACCATCACCATCACCATCACACTCACCGTCACCATCACCATCACCCTCCCTCCCTCCCTCCCTCCCTCCGTTACTTCTCGTCCTCCTCCTCCTCCTGCTTCTCTTCCTCCTGCTCCTCCTCGCACTCCTTCGCCGCCTCCCCCCTCCTCTGCCTCCCTACTCCATCCTCCCCCTCTTCCTTCTGCTCCATCTCCTCCTCTCCCTCCTCCTCCTCCCCCTCCTCCTTCATCCCTTTTCCTCATGAAAAACCCTCCCTGTCGCACCCTCAATCGTGCTGGTAGGGCGGGCGGGGCGTTTCGCCTGAGACTTTATCATTTTTCCACTTCCGCCTGAAGCTTGAAATTTGCAACAGCTTCACGGATGCAGGGCGGGTGGTTTTCAAAATGTGGTTATCGCCGTAGCGCCGCGCACATTCGTCTAAAAAGCTTGCGACAGCTTCAAGGGTGGAGGACTCGTAGTGATGGCAAAATGGCTCTCGCCTTAGCGCCACGCACATTCGTCTTCAAACTTTGCAACAGCTTCAACGATGGACATGTGGTTTTCAAAGTATAGCTCTCGCCTTCGAACCGCACACATTCGCCTCAAAACTCTGTAACAGCTTCAACGAAGGAGGGCAGTTCGCTTTCAAAATATGTTTCTCCTTACACCCTCGTCTTGAAAGTTTGCAACAGCTTCAAGGATGGAGGACGGCTCATGTTTTTGATGTGGATATCGCACTAGGGCCGCTCACATTCGTATCAAAAGTTTGCAACCGTTTCACGGATCCGTCTCGGTGAAGACCTGGGAATGGTTTTTTGACACGAGTCCGGATTGTCAGGACGCATCAGTCACGAAGCTTCGCGGCGCTGAAGTCCCAGGAATTGCATTTTGGTGCGATTTTGGACTGTCAAGGCGCAGTCGCGTTGATCCGCGGCGTTGAAATGCCGGGAATGGTTTTGACACGATTGAGGGTTCTCAAACGTATGTCTTCAAATGGGCTACTTCCCGCAATAAAAATCGTCGATGCTTCTTGAATTTACACTGGTCCTCCTCTTCCTCCTCTATCATCGTCTTCCTCATCATCATCATCATCATCATCATCGTCATCATCATCATCAGCATCATCATCATCATCATCATCATCAGCATCAGCATCAGCAGCATCATGGGAAACGAACTCTGTACACCGACGCTTTTCCCGACCCTGCGCTGAGATTCCCACAGGAACGCGGATTCTGGTGTATGTGTGATTTGGGTGTATACATTTTTCGTTTTTTCCCGTGGAAAACGGGGGGAAGGTATACACAACAACACACCGATGTCGTCCCTGACCCTTACAAAGCCGTGGGATTGAAAAACAACCCGCAGGCGGCAATGTATCGGAGGTTGGGGGGTGAGATCGAAGTGGAACGGAGAGCCCCCCTGCCGGGAAATCGATTTCGGTTTCGTGTTCGTGCGTGCCGTGCGGGCGAGGCGAAGCTGCGTGGGCGGGCGAAAGAAAGTCTCCTGTGGCTGAGGCACGGCCGGAGCAAAAGAACCTTGACCGGGCGGCCGGTGCCCCGCGTTGTCCCGCCGGTGTCCCGCTGGTGTCCCGTGTGGCTGAGGCGCGGCCGGGGCAAAAAAACCTTGACCGGGCGGCCGGTGCCGCGCGGTGTCCCGCCGGTGTCCCGCTGGTGTCCCTTCGGTGTCCCGTCGGTGTCCCGATGATGACGTGGATGATTATGATGATGATGATGGTGATGATGATGGTAATGATGATGATGATGATGATGATGATGATGATGGTGATGATGATGATGATGGTGATTATGATGATGGCGATGGTGATGATGATGCTGATGATGATGATGATGATGATGTTGGTGTCGTTGATGATGATGACGATGATCATGATGATGATGATGATGACGTCGGTTGTGAGATCGATTGTGCTATCGATAGTGAGACCGAATGTTAGATCGATTGCGCGATGCTGTTGGTGATGATGGCCATGATGGTGATGATGATTGTGATGATGATGACGACGTTGATGATGATGATGATGATGATGCTGATGATGATGATGACGATGATGATGATGTTAATGGTGATGTCGATGATGATGATGACGTCGATTGTGATATCGATTGTGAGATCGGTACTGAGTCCGAATAAGACAGCGAATGACACAGCGAATGAGGTCTTCTCGGAGAGAGATCGATGATGAGATCGATTGTGAGATCGATGGTGAGATTGATCGAGTGCGTTCGATTGAGTGAGACCGATCGACAGATCGATACTGAGATCGATAGTGCAAGAGGCGGCGCGGGCTGCGCCAAGCTTTGCCAGCGCTTCAGTCTTCTGTGGCCAATGGCGCCGTTAGCTGCCGTTGCGCAGGATGGGCAGGTTCCCAGGGGAAGGGTGACGTAAACAACTCGACACCAACGCCCCCAAGAGCGAGCGGCAACGCAACTAACTCCACTGGCATTGTCACAACAACATTCACCACTGTTGCCCATTGCTGGGCCCCCCCCCCCAACCTCGTTATCACCCGCAGGGTGGTCGTATAGGTATGTTCCAGTTTGTGACAAACGGCGCGAACATAAACTTTCTGAGTTCCGCGCAGATCTCCTGGGTCGGGGCTGGATCCCCCTCCCCTGCGCGCCGCGGAGCGCGCCGGGGGCGGCCGCAGAGGCGCCGCCAGGGGGGCCATCGCCAATCCGAGAAGTCCGAACGAAGCTCCGGGAAGTTTACTGAAGGGGCCCTGGGACACAAAGAAATACACACAAATAACAGGATTCCCCACATTATCCCATATGTTCTGGGTTCTTGTCTTCCCCCCCCACTTCCCATATGTTCCCATATCTTCGGGGGAATCGACGAGGAATTGTGTCTGTGTTTTTGTTCCCTCCTGATGTATGTCTTTATACTGCCTGTGAGAGGGGGGGTGGCAGGGCGAGGTGGATCTGTATAGCTATTCTGCTCCGAAGGTCGGCTTCGCGCCGTTCCCCGATGGCTGGGCCCTCTAAGAATAAAAACAATAACCAGAAGAAGAAAAAGAAGAAGCAGAAAGATAATAAGAATACAAAGAAAATGATGACGATGCTGATGATGATGATGATGATGATGCTGATGATGATGATGATGATGATGAAAGAACAAAAACTCATAAACGTAAACTTCCAGAGCTCCACGCGGATTTCTTGGATCGGCGCTGAGCCCCCTCCCTTACGCGCCGAGGAGCGCGCCGCGGCGCCGGAGGCAGACCAGGAGCTCCGAAAGCGCATGCGTACACAGTTTTTGACGAACCAACAACACACACCCATGCCCATAGGGGGATCGGAGAGGGCTATGGGTGCGTGTTGTCGGATGGGGGCCCCCGCTCGAACGGGAGCGTTCCCCGGGGTCCGACAACCCGCACCCATACCCATAGCCAGTCCTCCTCCCAACGACCCCCCCATGGGTATGGGTGCGTGCTGTCCGTTCGTCAGTTTTGGGGCCCTCGACCCTGTGGCCGGAGGGCGCGGCATCACCACGAGGCCCTCGCGAGGGGCTCCGGCGGGGCCGCCCGCCGGCCCCGCCCCGCCTCCCGCCACGAGGCGTGCCCGGTGTCGTGCCAGGGGGGGGTGCGCTCCTCGGGAGCCCGAGCCGCCCCAGGGCGGTCTGCTCTCGAGAGAGAGCGGCGACACCCAAAGGGTACGGGTGCCGCCAGTCCCTGGACCTCTCCGAGGGAGCCTTCCGACCAGAATTTCGAGGCGCACCCAGCGCTGGCGGCGACAACCTCCCAGAAGCCCAAAGAAAGGGAAAACGGGCAAAGGGTAGCGGTAGGTATACCTTTCGGACGTTGGCAGAACTGGGTTTAAGAGAACCTGGTTTGGTGATTTGTACCGGGGGCGCCCCCCCGTCCCATTTCCACTAACCGGAACTGCCGTCACCCGAAAAACACCAGCTACGGCAAACCTGGTTTAGTGAATCTGGCCAATTGAGGGGCCCCAGGGCCCTACCACTAACCGGGTCCCCTTACCCGCGGTCCTGGCCATACCCGAACCTTTTCCTCCTCTGAGAAAGGGCGCCCGGACCTCCGACGACTCGACGCGTGGGGCACCGCGTGTCCCTCTTGATGGCGCTGGCCACCGCGAAGCAGTGCTGCCGGAGCTCGTTGTACTTCCCGTCCACCAGCTGGTGCGGCGCCTCGGGGAGAGGCCAGAGCACGCCGTCCTCCTCCCAGTCCACCACCACCACTACCACCTCCTCAAGATCATCATCATCATCATCATCATCATCATCATCATCATCATCATCATCATCATCATCATCATCATCATCATCAACGTCATCATCATCATCATCATCATCATCATCATCCTCATCCGCTCATCATCATCGTCATCATCATCATGATCATCGTCATCATCATCATCATCATCATCATCATCATCATCATTATCATCGTCATCATCATCCTCATCATCATCATCATCATGATCATGATCATCACCATCACCACCATCATCATCATCACCATCACCACCATCATCACCATCACCATCATCACCATCATCACCACCACCACCATCATCATCATCATCATCATCATCATCATTCACATCATCCGCATCATCATGAGCATCAGCATCATCACCATCATCATCAGCATCATCATCAAAATCATCATCATCATCACCATCATCATCATAATCATCATCATCGTTTGCAGCATGAGCATCATCATCGTCGTCATCATCATCATCGTCACCATCGTCATCATCTCATCCTCATCAGCATCGTCACCAGCGGCATCATCATCGTCATCATCATCATCAGCATCATCATCACCATTATCACCATTATCATCATTAGCATCATCAGCAGCATTATCGTCATCATCACCATCACCACCATCATCATCACCATCATCATCATCACCACCATTAGCAGCATCATCATCATCATCACCATCACCACCATCACCATCATTATCAGCATCATCATCATCATCAGCATCACCATCACCATCATTATCAGCATCGTCATCATCATCGTCATCACCATCATCACCATCATCACCAGCATCATCATCGTCATCATCATCGTCCTCGACTTCGTCATCGTCATCATCATCATCATCATCCTCATCATCATCCTCATGCTCATCATCATCACCATCATCATCGTCATCTCCGACACCATCACCATCATCATCGTCATCATCACCATCGTCGTCCTCATCATCATCATCATCATCATCGTCATCATCATCAGCAGCATCATCGGCACTATCACCACCACCACCACCATCATCATCATCACCAGCATCAGCATCAGCAGCATCACCATCGTCACCACCATAATCAGCATCATCAGCAGCAGCAGCGTCATCATCATAATCATCATCAGCATCATCATCGTCATCGTCATCAGCATGATTATCCTCATCAGCATCGTCACCAGCAGCATCATCATCATCATCATCATTAAAATCATCATCATCAGCATCACCATCACCATCATCATAATCATCATCACCATCAACAGCAGCAGCATCATCATCGTCATCATCAGCATTGTCATCATCATCGTCAGCATCGTCGGCGCCATCGTGGTCAGCATCATCATAACCACAACCACCATCACGAGTACCAACATCGTCACCATCATCATCAGCATTACCACCATCGACATCATCATCATGATACGCTGTGTCGTTTGGCGGAGAACCGAGTCCTGGAAACGATGGCCAGCTGCGAAAGCGGGCGGCTCCTCCAGAGCCGAGGCCGGGGCGGACTGGCCCCACGAGGCAAACTGGCCTTCGAAAGCCCAAGAGGCTAGACCCCCACTGCGGGGTGGGCGGGCAGGGTGACCCAAAAGAGGCTGCAGAGCAAGCGGCGAGGCATGTCCCTGCGACCCCGCTCTGCTCATGATGCTACGACACCCCACCCCCCTCTAAATCATGTCTGCGCACGCACACTCATGATACGACGTGTCGTGCGGCGGAGAACCGAGTCCTGGGAACGATGGCCAGCTGCGAACGCGGGCGGCTCCTCCAGAGCCGAGGCTGGGGCCGACTGGCCCCGCGAGGCAAACTGGCCTTCGAAAGCCCAACAGGCTAGACCCCGCAAACGCCCTTGCACACGGCTAGCATTGTAAATGGAGGCTCTCGCGAGGGCGGAAAGAGACCAAGCGACCGCAAAGTTCAGAAGGTCTGGTCGCTTCTCAGCGGCTTCAGTCAAGGCGGCGCCGTTACATCCGCCACGAGGCTGCATGGGCTCTTGGCCAGTCCGACTGCAGAAGCTATTTTGACGTGAGCAAATCCGATGGAGGTTGGTTACATCTCTGGGGTCTCGCCGACGAAGAGATAATGACCGCGGCGTCTCCAAGAAGTCCCGAACATACAACGATCGCACGTCACGAGATGCAAGCATTCGCCGGGCACAACAACAAGGCTAGACCACAAGCGTTTCCAGATTCTGTTGCCTTCGGGCAGCTCGGGAAGAAAGGGGGCTGGTGATCGCCGCGACTCCCTAGCGAGCCGAACCAGTCTCTTCGAGAAACGCTTAAATTTGTAGGGCTGGAATCTGTTCCCAGTAGTTTTGCTGGATCCAGCAACAGAGGGCGACAATCATCGCAAAGAGGCCCCACGCCTCCGCAGATGCGGCTGCAGGCGGCGCTCCAGGGGGGCTCCTAGCCGCGCGTCGCCCAGGACTTTAGCGCCCCACGTCCAGGCTGGCATCCCTCCGCTCGTCAGGTGGGACCCACTGGCCTGCACCTGGTCGCCGACTAAGAGCGCTTTCCTGCCGCGGGCGAGGGCTGGATGCCTCCTGGCAGCGGCGCCGCGCGGCCCCGCGCTAAGGCGGGCTCCAGCTCGCGCAGGCACAGGTCTCCGCACGCCAACAAATTTGCACCGCGCGTCTGAGTCCACTGGCCCAGACGGGCGCTCTTCTCGTACCTGGCCATGCTCTTCAACTGGCGCCATCCGCCTCGGCGTTGCACCTCGGCTCGGCTGCGTTCTCCACTGGCGCAATCGGCACTCGCCCCCGAGTGTCTGGTCTGGTAAGGAGTGATCCGCCGCTGTTGGAGGCTGTCGTCAGTGTCCCTCATCCGTCGCAACAGCTGCGGGCAGTCGAACGCCCACGCCCCTTGCCGAGGGCTGAGCACGCGCATCTGCCTGAGCACAGGTCCGAGAAACTGAAGCCAGCTCGAAGACAGGCGAACACTGAGGTCGAAATCGCCCACCATGTCTGGTTTCGCCCGTTCCTGAGGATGCACCCGAAGACCCCAGCGCGGGCTGCCACGACACGGCTCCACAATGTCTCCAGGCCTCAGCCTGAAGAGCGACGACGGGCGGAGGTATGTAGACACAGCGATCGCCAGAAAAACTGCCATCACGCGATGCCCCCGCAACACCAGACCGCGCATCAGCGCGCACCAGATGATCAGCGGCTTGGGCATTCTGGCTCGCCCAGGCGTTGGCCGCCCCCCGCCTTTCAAAGCCCTCCACATTCTGGGCGGCGACTCCGCCCCAAGCTTCCCGAACTTCGGGTAGAAGTGGTTCACTGCCGCCGTCGCGCACACGCCTGTCCACGCCTGCTCGCCCTGCAGGCACAGGGAAGTGAAGTAGTGCACCAGGCAAGCGCCCATGGTCTCTGTCAGCAAGTCGAAAGTCCTAGCGGCCACATCGCTCTGTCAGCTGCTCCAGCACCTTCTAATACTGCGCCCGCGCCCGCGGCGTCACCGCGCTGGACTCCACGTAGCGGTCGATCGGCACACCGTCCGCTATGGCTCGCTCCACTGCCGAGTGCCGCCGCTTCGATCGCCTGGTTAGCGCCCTCTGGCGCTTGGCAGCGCTCGCGGCTTCGGACTCGCCGGCAGCGCCGCTCGAGCTCTGAGCGCGTGACCGCCCCCGCTATCCAGTGACGGGCCTTCGGGCGCCTGCAGCGGCGTCGCTGGCCGCTGCCTCCAGGTCTCGCGCCGCCGACCCCGCTGCCGCCGGCTGTCGCGCCGCTGGTCGCGGCTCTGGGACGGCCTCGGACCTGCAGCGACTGCCAGCGAGCCCTGCGTCAGCGCTTGCACGCGCGTGGGCTGAGCGGGCGCAGGGGAGCTCGCGTTCTCCGGTATGACGGCATCCTGGCCTGTGTTCGGCGAGAAAGTTTGAGCCAGTTGGGGCCAACATGCCGACCGACGAGAGAACAGGCTCGCAACTCTGACTATCACAGGACTTAAACTCCCCTTCCGAACAAGCTTCAAATTCACACGGCTTCAGCTCTGCACTCGAAACAATATCAGGTTCATCTCGCCCACAGCCCATTGGGGTAGAAACGCCTGCCCAGACACGGGGGGGATCGCAAAGGTCAGTTAATTCAACGTTGCCCTCGTCGCCAGAGCAGCGAACAGGAGGGGGAGAAACGGCGGGCAGGGAAACAGGGATAAGACGAGTAAGAATGTTCGGCGGTTCGCCGCCCTCGGCCCGCAATCCCTCGTCGCCGCTGTTAAGCTCACTCGGCATCCGGCGGACAACAGCCGTCAGGTTACGCCTAAGGAGGTAGGCTGTGAACGTACGACTCTGCCGCAAAATCGCAAAACTTCGGCACCTGCTTCTATCAGAAGCTAGTGCAACGCCTAGATTGTCCACTAACAAGACTTGCCTTGCATTAAATCCGAACCGCGTCAGCGCTATTCGTTTCAAAGACTTGACTGGGGCACGGGCCTCGAAAATGCCGATATGATCACTGTATCTCCACACCCCCTGTCCTACTGTACGCCATAGCTGATGAGACAGAAGCTCACTGGGCACCTCGTGGAAGCCCAGGTCCATGTCGTAGGTCCCTCCGGGCAGAGTCGACTCCATCAGCTCCTTCTCCTCCTCGTCCACCACCAACTCCACCTCCTTTTGCCTGAACTCCATGAACTCCCCAAGACCAGCCGCTGCATGGGCCGAACGACGGGCGTTAGCCCCCTCCTCCGTTCTGAACCCCCTCCTCTCACGACAACGGCCAACGGTGCTCAGCGCCTCCAAGTCCCAGAAACTCCCAGCGATCCCAAAACCACTCTTAGAGGCGTCTGAGCACTGGACCCATCGATTACACGGGAGCCACCAGTCGGAGACGATCATCGGAAGCAGACCACGGAAGGCGACCAACTCTTGACGACAGCTGTTCCAAAGCGGGGCCGACTCCCCTTTCATTTTGGTGACGGAACGATAGCAAGCGTGAAATACCGAGAGAACGGGCCGCCGCACCAGCCCCAGGCACGCGCAGTGGCCCAGCAGCACACGAAGGTCATCTCCTCGGACCGCTCGCAGCTGCATCAGGCCCCCGATCGCCCGCCGCACCCTCCAAAGCCTCTTCAGCGACGGCTGGGTCTGGAGTTTCTGGCCGTCTGGGACCACCCCCAGCACTTCGATGCCACCACTCCGAACTTCACGTCCATGAACGCTCAAGCCCACCTTCTCGAATGCCTGGATCAGCTCGCCCAGGCTGTGACTCACCCGCTCCCCGTTCTGCCCGAGCACGCCCACGTTGTCCACGTAGACGCAGTGCTCTACCGGCTCGGACCCCACGACGATCTTCAGCACCAGAGGCTTCCCAAGTTCGCTCAAAGGGGCAGCCCCCCTCAAGCCCACCGCAAACTGGCACCTCAACTCGGTCACGCTCTGGCACGAGTAGAGGCTCCACGTGCATCCCATCGGCGAAGCCTCAGGCACGGGGCACACCACGTCATGGTAGCCCAGGATCTGCCCCTCCAGCTCTGTCCCGCGCAGCTACAAGTCTCCTGCTTTCAGCCCAGGGAGTCCGAACAGCCTCTTCATCCAAGGTGGCGGACGCATACGACGAAATGCATCTTTCACGTCGGCGACCCCGAACGAGAACTCCACCACCTCCATGGCGGACATGCACGCGGCCTGCCGGCGATTTTTGCCCCCCCCCCCCCTCCCCCCACCCACCCACCACCACCTCATCCAGCTCAAATGCCGAGAGCCCCTCGGCCGTCAAAATTTGCACCGAAGGAGGTTCGATCAGCCATGCGTTACTGCGGCGACAATATAAGATCACCCTCGTCTTGACCACCATCTCCGGGACCTGGTGCGCGAACCACACTGAGCCACGTCGCGCGAGGTCCCTCGCGAACTCACTGCACCGCCGCCGGCTCCGCACCAACGACGGCTCACTGAACGGAACGCGCGGACAACGCTCCAGCGCCTCGCACACACTCTCACGGTCCCGCAGCATGCGCTCGCCCTGCCCCTCCACGCAGTGTAAGTCCCGCACTCGCAGAAGCTCGCGAAGCGCTGGGGCCTCGTCGATGCTCTCGGGAAGCGAAGGCAATCCAGGTCGGGAAGGGGCCAGCACATCCTCAGGAGGCCCTCCGAGATAGGGAGACCCCCCGCGCATCAGCTCCCACAAGGCTGAATGCGGTGGCTGCGGGACTTCGCCCCGCATCGGCTGCGCGACGTTGTTCACCTGCCCTTCGACGCGCCGAATGGCGTCGTCCTGCATGGCGGAAGGATAAGAAGTGGAAGACCCCACGTCGCGGCCCGCCAACCAGTTGAGGCTGTCGATCGCCTCGCCTATAAGTACGCGGCGAAGGCGTCAGCGGCGCCGCCGATCATGTCTCCGCCCGCGCCCCTTCTGACCCGTGTCCATCTCCATCTTCGGCAACGGGAAGATGCGCGAGCTCCATCCCCAGGTGGCAACCCAGGGGGCCCCGCGCGGTGGGGCAGCCGCCGAGCGCAGCATCGCGGCCTCGCGCTCCCAGGCCTGCTGCGAGGTGTACTCCTGGCCCAGGTGGACGACCTGCAACCAGAGAATCCCCCAAACGGGGAGGTTCGGCGGGACATGGGCCACCATGTCACCGTGAACCAAAAGGGGCTGTAGGGCAAGCGGCGAGGCATGTCCCTGCTGCCCCGCTCTGCGCATGATGCTACGACACCCCACTCCCCTCTAAATCATGTCTGTGCACGCACCCCCATGATCATGATCATGATCATCATCAGCTTCATCATCATCATCATCATCATCATCATCATCATCATCATCATCATCATCATCATCATCATCATCATCATCATCATCATCATCACCATCACCATCACCATCGTCATCATCATCATCATCATCATCACCACCACCACCACCACCATCATCATCATCATCAGCAGCAGCATCATCATCATCAGCAGCATCAGCAGCATCAGCATCGCTATTACCGTCATCGTTATCATCATTAGCATCATCATAATCAGCATCATCATCGTCATCCTCAGCATGATCAGCATGACACCCATCAGCATCACAATCATCAGCAGCATAATCAGTGTCGCCATCGTCATCAGCATCATCATCACTACCACCACTATCACCAGCACCACCATCATCATCGCCACCACCATCATCATCATCATCATCATCACCATCATCGGCATCATCATCATCATCATCATCATCATCATCATCATCATCAGCATCATCATCTGCAGTATCTCGTCCTCGTCCTCGGTATCATCCTCATTATCATGGTATTCATCCCCACCGTTCACCATAAGCAATAGCAAAATCAATTCACCCATACATCCATACATCCGATCCTCCCTTGCACCCTCCTCCCCGCTCCTCGTCCTCCTCCTCCTTCTCCTCCTCCTCCTACTCCTCCTCCTCCTCACAATCCTCATCCACTCCGTGAGAGTGCTCCAGCCACCGCGTCCAGCAACTTGAACGCCACATGACAAGCCACACAAGAGATTGAACTGTGAGCGCGAACTACATGAAGCACAAAGGCCAAGCTGCGCATAGAAATCGCACGGCTGGGCAACACGAGGACGACACCACGACTAGAGAGCGACGACTCGAAAAGCAGGACAACCACGTTGTCGTCCGCGTTATCATCCTACTATCTCTCTCCTCGGTGGAGCCAGAAACGTCTGCGCCCGTCTGATTGGAGCTTTTGATTTCTGGCTGATTATCGGGCAGACTCCAATGGCTTGCCAGCGGGAAGGGCCCGCCCCCGCCGTGGCGGAAGGTCCCGGGGCTCAGGGGGGGAGGCTCGCGTCTCTCGGTGGAGCGCGTCGGGTGCCGCGTGACGGGGTTTACTGCCTGTGGACGACCTTGGCGTGGAGGTCCTGCTCACCCTCGACTCCACTGCGCCCTTTTTGCGCCCCCCCGTGGGCGGCCGGAATGAGATCTGGTGACAGGACGTACCATTATAGTTCATGGCTCGATTGTGGAGCGTGCCTGGACGTGCTGAATACCTGCTTTGTTTAGCTGTTCCTCCTCTTCCTCCTCCTTCTGCTCCTCCTCCCCCTCCTCCTGCTCCAGCTCATCGCCGCGCTCTGCGGCCCTACTCCTCAATAGCACACTATGGGGACGTGCCTCCTCACATGTCCTCCTCCGCCTCCTCCGCCTCCTCCTGCTCCGATGCCCCTCGTCGCCCGCACTCTGAGGCGCACAGAGTGCGCCACGACGCCCGCCGAGCTCACGAACCACCTCCCCCCACCCGAGGGCTCCCGCCTGACCCCGCTCGGCGTCGGAGCCCACGTGGCCGCCGAGCGGGCGCAGGACCGAGCCGGCTCGGCGGCCGAGCTGGCCAGATTCCCACTGCCACGTTGGCCTTAAGCCTGCCATCGCTCGGACGTACGTTTCCCGTGCATTATTCGGTGTTTTTTTTTCTGCTCGATGGTCAAGGATGGTCCTCGATGGTTCTCGCCGAGAAAAATGCACACGTCCGAGCGATGCCAAGTAGGCCCGCTCGGGTTCCCATGCGGCGTTCAAGTGGGCTCCGACGCCGAAAGGGCGTAGAACGGAAGCCTGGATCACTGCACACAGAGTGGGGTCCGTCAGAGACGGGGGAAAGAAGACGGAGAAGGTCGCCTTGACCCAGCGGGGCTCCGTCTTAGTCCACACCGTTGACACCGCATTGGATCTTGGAGGTGCTGCGATGAAGCGGCTTTAAAAGGTTCGGTCGTTTTTTGCCATTGCCTTGGACAGCGTGAGCTTCACAGCCGTAGCGTGGCTGGGGGAAGGGGGGAACGATGCTTGAGTAGCTCCCTTGGCGCATTGGTGTTCGCGAGCACGAACTGCGCGCCCTTGAAGGGAGCGAACTTGAAGTACAGCGTGCGGCAGTCCAGAAACACCACGTGGCCAGCCCTGCCTGCCAAAGGGGGTCATGCTGCTGCCGAGACTCGCCAGAACAAATGAGCCCGTGGAGCAAAGGTTGGCACAGGCACCGCGTGCACTACGACACCTTCGCTGAGGGCGTCTTGGGGCAAGGCTTTCGACTGGCGAGCCAAGGGCTGTTTGTGCGGATAGCATGCAGTTCCTCACGCGCAATAAAATGTGATCAGTACGTTCTCACAACTCCGACTCGCAGCATGCACCCGCTGGATGCAGATCCACTGCCCGCTTAGTATGACCGATCTCGCCTTTCAGTCGGGGTGCTGACCTAAGGAAACCTAAATAAGGAACGAGGCCCCTTCTCCCACAAGTTCAACTTCGACTTACCTTCGAAAACCTAAGGAAAACCCGAGGCAAATTGCACAGCAATCAAGGAACACCGAGCCCCTCCCCAACGACAAGGGTTGCTTCTTCAGCGGCCCGACTGTACACATGACTTGGCACATCGGACTTGTAAACGAATCAACTGCTCCGTACTTTTCACTTCCCTGCTCCCTCCTTCTCACAAAATGGCCTAGAAGTCGGACAGGTTCAAAGGCAGCATATCCCTACCGCTCGCAAGGGCGCCGCGAGAGCACGTGTTTTTGAGGCGACTGGGGGGTCAGAGCTGGCGAAGCGCAGAGACACTCGGTCAAGAGGGGGGGATGCGGGCAAATCCACTCAAAACCGGTCCCCCCACCCCTCCAGAGGGGAAAACTGCCAAATTTTTCGAGCCAGTCCAACCGTGGCGACGAGGGAGCCCGTCTTTTCCCCCGTTCTGCTGACCAGAACCATTGCGGGGCCAGCTCAGCCCCACAGCAGGCTCCAACATGGGCTCATCTCAATCGTTCCCCATCATATACAATGTACTAGCAGTGTAGAGGCGCTCGCCGTGAGGACCTAAGACATGTTCTCTGCTCACGATCTGCTCCGCCCATGCGCTTCAAAAACCGGCCAGCCCGTCCGCCTTTGCCGGAAGTGAACTGGTCCAGGATGCCACAACCTCCCGCGCAGGCTGGTAGCAGGACGGGAGGTCGAGGAGCTCAAGGTCGTTGGGAACATAACACGAGCGTTACGTGGATGGGTGGCTCGGCTAGCACGCAATACGCAATATCAGATCATAGCTCTGTGCCGGGCCGCGTGTTGTGCTACTTCTGCTGACAGTACTGATGTTGTTGCTGTTGCTGCTGCAGCTTGTTGCTGCTGACGGGCGGAAGTCGCGCCCCTAGATCAACAGATTGGTCTGGATGGCATATCCCAAAGGGGCCCAGGCACACACGAACAAATAGACCCTCATCCCAGGATGACCCACACACACATATATATATATATATATATATATATATATCTCCGCAGTTTGCCAGACGTTCGTCTTCCCCTCCACTTCCACATCTACCAGGGCATCGACGATGAGTTGTGTCTGTGTGGTTCACTCCCTTTTTTTACGTTGCACTCCGGTCCAGCGGTGCTCCTCACCCTCTCGGGCGTCGCCCTGGATACGTGGTGCGTCCTCTCCCGCGGTCACTTGAGGCTGGTGTACATGACGCGCCGCTGACGGCACCACCACCACCACAGCATTTTGTTTCTTCCGGTGCTTCGCCACCGGGTTCCTGTACAAGGCGTTCATGTGCATGCACATCGCCTTCGGCACCGCCTGATTCCGGGGCTTTGCCCTCTCTTGGCCCAGACGTGAGGCCCCTCCTTCTGCCTTCCCCTCTCTGTCAATTGAAGCTGTGCGCGGCCCGCTTAGCTTCGACCGGAAGAGGCTCGCTCTCGCCCCGCGGATCAAAAAAGTGTCACTCCCTTCTGATGCCCTTTTGGCGCCAGCAGGGGCCTAGAAGGGGCCCTGAAGGGCCCATCTGGGTGGGAGGGAGGGGAGGAGGAGGAGGAGGAGGAGGAGGAGGAGGAGGAGGAGATCTACCAGGGCATCGACGACGAGCTGTGCCTGTGTGTTTCACTCCCCTCTGATGCCCGCACGCCCGCCGGGACAGGAGAGGGGCTCCCCCGACCCCAGGAGAGCGCGCGCGAGCGGCGGCCCTTCCTGGGGCGGCCGTCCCCCCAGGGGTTGGCCCCGGGGAGCTCCCGAAGTCGCATCCCCCAGTCTTCCCTTCTGTCGGCGGCGAGCGAGGGTGAAGGGGCCCCAGGACACACAAATAAATACACACAAATAAAAGGAGTTCCCATATGTTTCCATATTTTCTGGGTTTTTGTCTTCCCCCCCACTTCCCATATTTCCCCATATTTTCTGGGGAATCGACGATTAATTGTGTCTGTGTGTTGTCTTCCCTCCTGAGAGGGGGCGGACGCGAAGCGAGGAGGAGGGGGCAGGGAAACGGACTCTATACACCGACGCTTGTGTTCCGACCCTGCGCTGACAGTCGCACCGGAACGCGGATCCTAGTGTATACGGGATCCTGGTGTATACATGTTTTCGTTGTTTCCATGGGAGAACGGGGAAAAGTATACACCACACCACCCCGACGTCGTCCCCGGCCCTCAAAAAGTCGTGGGATCGAAAAAACAGCCCGCCACTGGAAATGTATCTGTTCCAGTTTGCGAGGAGGCCTTCTCAGAAGGCGGCGGGACTTCTCCGAAGCCCTCGCGCCCCCTGAGAAGTGTGCTGTCTTCGGGGGAGGCTTTTAGGAGACTCCTCAGGAGGCCGGGGGACTTCCGAGCCTTCTGAGAAGGCCTTTCGGGGGCGGCCAAGAGGGGGTCGTCCAAGAGGGGGGGCGCAAATCATGGCCAGTGGAATGTGCGCGGCCCAGGGGGGGGGCCAGGATCGTAATGAAATAAGAACAGGCGCCATGACATCTGAGGAAATATCATGGCCCACGCCATGATATCCACCCCCTCCTAGTCATCACCCCCCTTCTCGGGGCTCTAAAAACTCGCCAGCCCGAGGTAAATGGGCCCCGGCCGCAAGCACAAGCATGCGTGCGCGCGCGCACACAGGCGCCTGCACGACGGTGCGTGCAGCGACGGGTCAAGATGAATCCAGCGCCCAGTTGCGCCAAGCACAGTGCGCTGTGGTCGGTGGGGCGGGAGGCGTGTACATTGCAATCAAGCCCATAGTGAGGATGCAGGGTCAAGGTGCAAGGCCATTGGAAGCCCCACTCACCATTCAGGGGTCCTTGGACGCCAACACTGGCTCAGGACGTGCCGAAGAAGCAGGGATGCAGCGGTAGCCTGATGATGTTGACGATAATGATAATGATGTTGACGATAATGATAATGATGATGATGATGATGACGACGACGACGACGACGACGACGATGATGATGATGATGACGATGATGATGATGATGATGACGATGATGACGATGACGATGAGGCAGCGCATCCTTACTGTGGAGTTTGACTGTGCCTGCTGGGTGGGCGTGTGGACTGGGGGCCGCGAGGCGCGCCTGCCCACGTCGCCCCCCGAGCACAGGGCACGCGTGGGAGCTGCCCTGCGGCGATCCCTGCGCCGATGCGGCCAGAAGCGTGGCCAGCGTGCTCGCGCGCGCGCCTGTCCCACCCCCCTGCTAACGGGGTGTTAGTAAACGGGGTGGCAGCTAAGGGGCCTCTGCGAGCGAGTACAGGGTGACAGGGCGTCTCCCTCGCACTGGTGCGTGATGAATCGGGACGACAGAATCGTCGATACATCATAACTCTGGGCGGGGGGGATTACCTCGCACTTGTGCGCGGCAAATCAGTTTTCGAAGGCACAATTGAAAACACACCCTTAGTAGCTACCACCCAATTTACAAACACTCCGTTTGCAGGGGCTTGGCTGTCGCCCATCATTGGGTCGCCCTCTGCGGCGACAACGCGGGTCTGTCTGTCTGTCAGTCTGTTGATCTCCCACATGGGCACGATTGACTCCTGCCTCCGCTCGTTTCGTACACGCACTCCTCCCTGCAACCTGCTCCACATGACCACCTGCATGCAGGGCCCTCTCGACCGCCGAACGGGCAGCCGAATGGGCTCGCTTCCGACGGGGCGGCGGGAACCTGGCCCGCTCGCTGGCCGCGTGGGCCCCGCTCCCGGGCCCGCTCGGCCGCTCGGCGACCGAGCGGGCTTGGACGCCGACCCGGCTCAGCTAAGGAGTTCTGCGGCAGGTCCTTGCAGCACAAAGAGTAAGAATAACTGCTCGGGAGCCACCGTCATCCGGTCGCCTGTTGCTGCCGCCTGCAACCCTGAACGCAATCTCGCTCGACGTCCCTCTCGCCCGGCCGTCCCCACCCATGCCGACGAAGTTGTTCTCGGCCGCCTTCGCCACCTGCCGACCAAGGGGGGGAAGGACCGTGGTGGGGATGGGAGATGGTCGTGTCTGTAAGGCTGTCGGGCGCTCGCCAACACGGATTACGGATCCGTGGGTTTGGGCGCGAGAGATGCAGCCAGATGCCGCCTGGTTTGGCGACGGGCCGCACCGATTTCGCATGGAAGCGGGACCAGTCGCTGATCCACGCGCCTCGAACCAAAATGTTTCAAGCAGTTGCGATGACTTTATTACCGGCTGCCCCCCCCCACCAGACCCCCTCCCCCACGGTCACGTCACGACTCGCGCCGGCGCCGCCCGGGATGTAACCAGTCCTAAGCATTGCCGGACAACACCAGCGCGAATCGTAATGCCACCAGCCCCCTGCCCCCCTTTCCCCCCGTCTTTGCCACGCCCGCTATCGCACGGGAAAGGAAACTGTTTCCTTAATGCAAGTCTGCGTTTCTTCGAATTCGATGAGTCAAAATCCTTGGGGCGCTGGTCGGGCCCACGGAGCATATATATATATATATATATATATATATATATATATATCCACGCGGCCGGAGACGAACGGTGCATTTGCCGTTCCGAACCCGGAGGACGGGGCCAAGAAGAGAAGGATGAGGAGGCGGCGGCGCCCGAGGACGAGGACACACAGAGGAGGCGGAGGCGGAGGAGGCGGAGCAAGACTTCCGACGCGAAGGCCTCCAATGACAAGCTCTGCAGGCTCCGCCGCGGGGGAGGCGGGCAGCGAAACCGGCCACTCGCGCGGTGCTCCTGCGCTGAAGACGCTCTGGAACGATGTACCCCTGCCCTGGCCCCGCCCGAACCTCGCTGCCGAGCAAAAAAAAAGGGGGGGAGGGGGAGGAGGAGAAGAGGAGGAAAAGGAGGAGGCGGAGGAGGAGGAGCAGGAGGAGGAGGAGAAGGAGGAGGAGGAGGCGGCGGAGGAGGAGGCGGAGCAAGAGGAGAAGGAGGAGGAGGAGGAGGAGGACGTGGAGGAGGAGGAAGATCAGGAGGAGAAGAAAAACAGGAGGAAGAAAACTAGTAAGGGGAGGAAGAAAAAGAAACGGAAAAGGAAGAAGAAACGGAAGAGACGGAGGAGGAGGAGGAAACGGAGGCGGAGGAGGAAGAGGGGGAGGAAGTGGAGGGGAAACCGGAAGAGGAGCAGGAGGAAGGGGAGGAAGAGGAGGAGAAACGGACGAGGAGGAGGAGGAGGAGAGGAGGAGGGAGGAGGAGGAGGAGGAGGAGGGGGGGGGGGGGGAGGGGGAGGGGGAGGGGGAGGGGGAGGAGGCGGAGACCGCCCTGGCAGCTGCGGCGACGTCGGGCGACCTGGCCGGTTTTCCACAGAGCGTCCGGGGTCGCCACGGAGAGTTTCGAATGAAATTCGTCGCAGAGTTTCGAATGAAACTCGTCGCCAATCCTGGTCGACAACTGGTACACTTTTTGGCGCTGCTCGCAGCGCTGGAAAACGGCCGCTTAACGCAGGCACCGTTTGCAACGCGTCGTTTGTTGCAAGCTTGCTTGGGTGAGCTGGCTGAAAGAGAAGGGCCGCTCGACAGGCCACGCGCCCTGCGCACCACCTGGAAGCGAAATCCAAAACCACACACAACACCACTGGCGCGGCAAAGTTGCCCCGCGACGCGGCCCAAGGCGACCTGCGACTCGGGCGCCGCGCGAGCGAAAGACGAAGTTCAGAAACATGATCTGCCAGAGTTCCACGCGGATATCTTGGATCGGCACTGGGCGCCCGCCCACCTCGGCGCACCCTGGCGAGCAGCGCGCGCCAGTGGCGGCGCCGGAAGCGCCGCCAGGAGGGTCCAACGCCGACCCGAGACATGCGCGCGAAGCTGCGAAAGAGCCACGGCAATGTCGGTCTGGTGTTTCGGCGCTCGGGAAAGACCAGGGGCGGGCAAGTCAAATGCGGCCGCCGCGAAATGCACGACCCGCCCGAGCGCCGCCCTCCACCTCGGGGCCACTCGGCCAGTGCTGGCGACGCCCAGGCACCTGGGACGCAGGCCCGGACATGCGCGGCCAGGTTGTCCGACACCCGCGCTGCATTTACGTCAAAGTGACCACGCGACTAAACAGCAATCAACAAGACCACGCGCCCGCGCCGACGGCGCTTGCCTGGCCCGCGGCGGCAGCGGCGGCGCCCGAAACTCTCGCAGCAACGGCGCTCCTGCCCATGATCTTTCATCGCCTCATCCTTTGTCGCCGTCGCTTTCCCAGCCCTATCAAGGTCGCCCGCATCGCCGCGCGCATAGGGGCGCCGAGGGCAGCCGCGCGGGAAGATGAAGGGGGGAGATCACAAGACTTCGGGCAGCAGGCCCCGCAGCTACAAGCGCTCTGCAGACTGGCCTCACACGGCGGGAGGCGCCGCCCCCGAATCACGACCCCCCCTTGGCGTGGCCCGACGGGGAGGCCTGGCTGAAGGCCAACCGAGTTTGCGGCGCAGGGGCCGCTGAGGGGCCCGCCTGCGCACCCGCGGCAGAAGCGCCGCCATTGCGCGCGCGCCGGCACGCGCGACACGGCACTTTAGAATGCGAATGGCTCCGCCTTGAGGCGCGCACCTCAGCGGCCCGACACCAGCTGCTCACGCTGCGCACGCAGGCAGAGGCAGACGAGGCAGACGGCACCGCCCCACGGGGGGGAGCAAGGGCCCCCCCTCTCGACCTCAAGGCGACAGGGCCCGAGCACCGGCGCCCCCGCGAGCCCGAGCCCCCGACGCGCCGGCGCCAAGGGGCGCCGCCAGCGCAGGGGCCCGGCAGGACAGGGGGGGGGGGGCGCCAGAGCCCCGCCGCCCCCGCGGCGCAGGAGGGGCCTTTCACCCCCAGCGGGGACCGAATGCGGGAAGAGGGAGAAGGCCCCAATGCAAAGGAAGGGCCCCTAGGCAAGCCAAGGGCACTCGCGCGGACCGCGAGACAGGCCCCGGGCTGCACGGGCGCTTGCCCGGCGGTGCTAACCTGAAGGATAGAGGAGGCAGCGGCGGCGCCAAAGGGTAGCACGGGCCCGCGAACGGCGCCACCAGGAGACGGTCGGTCGCCAGCCCCGCAGCCGCGCGCCAGGGCGCGGGCAATCCTCGTCGCGCTGCTCGACGAATGCTGGCGTTCGCCGCGGCGGTCAGCGACGCGCTGCTCAATGTCGAGATGCCGGCGCCCTTCGCACAGGTCAGGGGCGCGGCGCGGGAGGGAAGCAGCGCCCGCCCCGACGGCGCACGCCAGGGCCAAGCTAGCGCTCACCGACACTCTGCCCGAAGCGCTGCAGGCACCCGTCGCGGCGGTCAGCGACGTAGTAGCCAAGACAGCACTCGCCCAACCAGTGGACGTCAGGGGCGAATTTCTGCCCGCGCCCGCGCTGCTCAATGATGCGCAGCTGGCGCCCGTCGCGACAGTCAGCGACATGGCACTCGAAACAACGCTCGCCCCGCTCGCGAACGTCGGCACGGAGTTTTGCTCTCCTGGGTGGACAAAAAGCCGACACCGACACCAAGAAAGTGATCTGCTTCATATGAATTGGACTTGCGATTCGGGCCAGCGCGAGCCCGTCTTGACCTTCGGAATCGCGGGGCGGTCGGGGAGGGGGGGAAGGGGGGCGTCGCGCAGCGCGCAGGAGGGAGGGCAGGAAACAAAAAGTGCCGACGAAAGGCGAAGTTGGCGGGCGTTCTCGGGAGAGGGGGCGCCCGCGGGAAGGATGCAGTTTCCTCCACGACCCAAGCCCCCCACTCCGCCGCCGCCGCCCTCCGCGCCTCCCCCCACCAGTTTGGCCCGCCCCCCTCTCTCCCCCCCCCCTCCCACCCGCCCCCTGCCCGCCCCTGGTCGCATCCCTGGCGCGCTGCAAGCCCGAGGCCGGCCCCCGACGACCCCGATCCCACCACTGCCCCCGCGCCGGGGGAGGGCGCGGCTGCCCTGCGCGGCCAGGGCCCGCGCACGCGGCGCCCTCTTAACCCCTGCCCCACAGGCCCTGGCCAACTTTCGAGGTCGCGGAGAGGCTCCGCCCCGCCCGCCGCCCCAGCGGGGGCCGCGGCGCTGGCGTCTGCTTTCCAGCGCTACCGGGGACGAAAAGCTAGCGCAGGCACCAAGACCCCCTGGAAAAGTTGGCGGCCCTTTCCCCGCGGGGGCAGGGCGGCCCAGCGGAGCCCGCTATACGCGAGGCGCCTCGCATTGCTCGCCGAATTCACAAGCCACGGGGCTCGCGTTGTAAAAAACGCCCCATGGGGCCCATGGCGACCCCATGGCCCGCGGGGCTGCCACGGCCCGCGGGGTTCGCAAGGCCCAGAAACCCGACGCGGCCCCGACGACTCAAAGGGCTTATGGGGGCCGCGCGGCTCGCCGGGCTCGCGCGGCGCATTGGGCCCACGCGCGTTGCGGCGCCCATGCGGCCAAGGAAACCTTTCTGGGACTTGTGGGGCCCATGAGGCCGGCGAGGTTCGCGCGGCCCACGGGCCGCGCGCGGCCCGTGAAAATCGTGGAATGTTCACTGGAGGAACTAGAGAAGACCCGCGTTGCCCCCACGCGCGCAGCGCTGACATTCATCGACATTTTTCTGGTCCAGAGGGAATCTCGGCGTCGGCTCCGGGACCCGGCGACCCGGTCCCCGACGCGACGCTGCTCGGCGTCGAGATGTCAATGCCCGTCGCGCAGCTCAGCGGCGCGGCACTCGCTGCGGAGCCCGCCCCGCCGGCGCACGCCAAGGCAGGCGCCGGCGCTCATTCGCGCCGCTCAGCGACGCGGCGCTGGCACTCGCCGCGGCGGTGAGCGACGCGCTGCTCAACGTCCAGATGCCAGTGCCCGTCGCACAGCTCAGCGACGCGGCACTCGAGGTAGCGCCTGCCGGGCCGGTGCACGGCAGGGCTGTGCAACGGCGCGCGGCATTGCTCCACGGCGCGGCACTCGAGGCAGCGCTCGCCCCACTGGCGCGCGCCGGGGCCAAGCCGGCACCCCCCGACGCGCGAGTCGGAGCACGCGCCCCCGCCCCCAGTGGGTCAATGCAACATGACGACGCACGCGCCCCACCCCGAG